TGGTTTGGCTTGATTTGGTTCTCACCGATCTGGTCTGGTCTGGTCTCCCTCCCCCACCGTGCTCAACCCCACCTCTCCTCCCACCGTGCCCAACCGCGCCTCTCCTCTCTACGTGGTCAACACCGCCTCCCCCACCGTGCTCACCCTCGCCTGCCCTTCTGGCGCCGTGACTGCGCCGGTGACTGCCAGTGTGACGGGGCGCTGGGGACGCCGGTGAGGTAGGCATGGCTGTCCGGGACGGCAGCACGTCCAGCGATACGGTCGTCTTCGGGATCACCTGCCGGACAAGAGCAGCACGCTTTTTCCAGCTCTGAGGCACGGCTGAGGGCGTGCGCTAGGAACTGCCGGGCTCCAAAAAGCAGCTGACTGAAAAGCCGATTCGTAATAAGAAGGTGGTGCGACACGCCAGCTCATTATATTCCATACGTCTTTGTGACGCATGGACGGGCGCAAAACTGCATTCCGCAAACAGGGCAGGTATTGGCAATAACGCTAGGTGAAACCCGCACCACAAATTTCTTACAGAGCGTGTCTATATTCAGCGGGTGCAAAAAACTCGCGGCAAGCCTCACTGTGCATCTACTGCGGCAGTGACTCTGCGCTGGTGACAAGCCAGCGCAGCAGCGCAACCGGCCGCTGAGCCGCTACCTTAAGAAGCACGGCGGTCTTGGCATGGCCCGCCTCATTGCGGCCGAAGCACTGGTACAGGCCGGCGTTCTCCCGAGTCACGGCGTCGAACAGGAGCCGGTCGCCGTCCAGCCGCGGCCGGCCGTCTCCCACCAGCGGCCGGCCGTCCAGCACCCACTCGAGCCGCGGCGGCGGCCAGCCGCGGCCCGAGCAGCGCAAAGACGCCGGTGAACCCTCGGGCACCGTCAGGTCCGAGGGCGAGGTGTCCACCGTTGGCGGTTCTGGTGAGGAAAGCGAGCGTCAGGTTAGGACAGCCGGCGAAGCCTCTACCGACGGTGCATTTGGAGATAGGTCAGATCAGGTCGGGTCGGGCGAGGAGAGTTTAGGAGAATTCAAACAGCTCCAACACAGGAGCCATACCAGACCAGCCTGAGCAGCCCAAACCTAGCGCCATCACGCTGGCCGGAGCCCGCCTGACAGCCGCGTCTTACGGTGCGGCGTCCCTCACCTGTGACGCGCACGGCAGTGGCGGCGGTGAGCGACCCCTCTGAGCTGGTCACATCGCACGCGTAGTCGCCCTCGTCGGCGGCCCGCAGCCGGGAGATCTCCAGCCGGCCGGCCAGCTGCACGTAGCGGTCCGACCAGCGGTCGTCCAGCCGCCTCCAGGACACGGCGGGCAGCGGCCAGCCCTCCGCCGCGCACTCCAGTCTGCGAAGCGCACCGGCGGCGGTCAGAGCCGGTGCGCAGGGGCACGCGTCAAGCGAAATGCGCGTGTGTTTGAGCGCGCGTCATTGGGGATTTACGATGCGTCTTGCAGCCAAGGCTATATGGCGACGCCTGCCTGCCTTTCTCGCTTTGACCAGAGGGCGGGCACTGCGGGAAACCAAACCCCGCATCTCTAGTTTCCCGGCGTAGCAGCTTAACCACTGCACTAGCGGTAACCCCAAGTGAAATTCGAGCGCGCTCATGAGCACGGTTTGGTGTTGTGAAGGACATCGTGTCTAAGGGGCACCGTGGCAGCCTTTGCCGTGTTTTTTTGTTTGCCTTTGAGGGGTATGGAGTCAAGACAGCCTACAAATTCGATCAAACGAGAGGATCAGGTTAGAAAAAAATAATCGAATTCGATTACACGTCCATCAACTTTTCCAGTACATCAGAGCAAAGCGGCTGGCAAATCTCCGGATTGCGGTAAAGGCTGGCCTAGCCTGGCCTGGCTGGCACATGTCGATAAGGCACGACATTGAATGAACAGCTTTTTACTTTTTGGCACGACTCAACGTCCAAGGCACAAAGCCTCAAACTTGTCGGAAACGTCAACAGACAGAATAAACGCAGCACTAGTGAAGAGCACCTCTTGCATGGAGTTATGGCATCACCACATACCGCTCACACAACATGACCAGTCGCGATGACTGGCTTCTAGAGCAAGCTGAATTTAGGCTGTGGTCATTAGCTGCGAGCCGCTTTGTGCAGACCGGCGGCGTATGACAATAATCAGGTCGAATCTTGGTCAGGCGCGAGTCTGGTTGGAGTTAAGGTGCGGTGCTGGCGATGGGCGGTCGTGAAATATAGTGCACCTGAACCCTCGGTGCCTTCGACGTGGCGGCCGTCTAGAACTGGACAGTACGACGTGGCCAAAGGAGGCGCGATTCTGTGCGGGTGGGGGAGGGGAGCTGACCTGAGGGTGTCCCCGGCTGCGGCGCGGTACTCGACGCGGGGCCCGCACTGTCAGCCGCGGCGGCCGACTCTCCGCCGGCCGGCGCACCTCCAGCCGGGTGGCAAACCGTGCTGCCACCTGGTGTCCGGATCGAGGATTACGCGCTGAGCAGGTGTACAGCCCGGCGTCCGCGCTGCTGACGACGGTCAGGAGAAGGCGGGCCGCCAGAGAGCAGCACCGCCGTGTCTGGGGACGGGCAGGTGGCACCACCGAGTCAGGCAGACCAGCGGGGCATGCATGGGCACCTCCAACGCAGCGCAGTGATACCGATCTGGGTCCTCAGCCGCCAGAGTACAGCACTAGTTTGTGCACGACAGTCAGTACGAGCTCTAATCCCCTTCAACTGAAGCAGTTTGAATCAGCACACGCTATGTTCAAATTAATAGTGCCACTGGAGCTCGAGTGACGACGAGTCGTCGAAAAGTTTATTCATCAGATGCCAGGGGACGCTTCCGCCGCTTATGTCCTACGTAGGTGCATCATAGCATTATGCAAAGAATAGGTAAGTTTTTGGTCATATCCATTTGGGCAAAATGGCAACAGCCACGGAATGCTACATGGTAATAAATGATCACACGACATGCTTTACACGCGTAAAATCCTATATCCACGGCCTTACGGCGCTGGTAATTTTGGTTGCTTGTGCTACTGCCTGATAAGGTTCCTTTTCACTCTCCGATCTTTTCAAGCCATTGTAAGCCACCTCCTTCTGCACTAATGCGTCGCATCCTTATCTGAATTTAATAAAACATAATTAGGGTAGGATATGAGTATTTTCATTGAAACAGAGGGCCGTAAAATAATTTGCTGTTAGGACCAAGTAAGTCTAAAGCGACAATAAACATAGCTAACTAGCCCCCCGTCTCAAGGTCACACTCTCGGCACTCGGTGCCAGTCGGTGATAGCAGCACTCACCCTCCTGCGGCGCTCACTCACCCTCCTCCAGCACTCACCCTCCTCCTCACCCTCCTGCGGCGCTCGCTCACCCTCCTCCAGCACTCACCCTCCTCCTCACCCTCCTGCGGCGCTCACTCACCCTCCTCCAGCACTCACCCTCCTCCTCACCCTCCCGCGGCACTCACTCACCCTCCTCCTCACCCTCCTGCGGCGCTCACTCACCCTCCTCCAGCACTCACCCTCCTCCTCACCCTCCCGCGGCGCCAGGGGCCGGCCGTCGCGGTAGAACTGGACGGCGGCGGGCGGCGCGCTGGCCGGCGGAGGACACGCCAGCGAGACGGAGCCGCCGGGCGGCGCCACCAGCGTCGCGTTCTGCCGCGGCGCGAAGGGCTCTGTGTGGGCCACCTGCACCGAGGCCGGCAGAGAGGCCAGACCGATCGGTGCGATCCAGGCCATGCACTGTCGGGCGGACAGGGCGGATATGAGCGGCGGGCAGGGCAGACACGAGCGGCGGGCAGGGCAGACACGAGTGGCGGGCAGGGCAGACACGAGTGGCGGGCAGGGCGGACGTAAGTGGCGGGCAGGGCGAACATGAGTGGCGGTTACAGCTGATGGCTGGACACGGGTGGTGGTCACCGGCTGATGGCTGGACATGGGTGGCGGTCACAACTGATGGCTGGAGACGGATGCCGGTCAGAGCTGATGGTTGGACACGGGTGGCGGTCGCAGCTGATGGGCGGACACTGGTGGTGGTCACAGCTGATGGGCGGACACGGGGTGGCGGCCACAACTGATGGCTGGACACGGGTGGAGGTCACAGCTGATGGCTGGACACGGGTGGAGGTCACAGCTGATGGCTGGACACGGGTGGAGGTCACAGCTGATGGGAGGACACAGGTGGAGGTCACAACTGATGGCTGGACACGGGTGGTGGTCACAGCTGATGGCTGGACGCGAGTGGTGGTCACAACTGATTGCTGGACACGGGTGGTGATCACAGCTGGCGGATCTAAGTGATGAAAGTGCCAGACTATGTCAGGCTGGCGTCCACGTGCAGTCACCGACTGACCCTGTACTCTCCGGTATGCCGCCGGTACAGATCCGGATCCTGTCCGATCCGGATCCGCAGCCGGCCCGGGTCGCACGTCTATCGTCGGGTCGCTGCCAGGTTCCAGGGGCTGCCAGTCGCGCAGCCATCTAGCGAGAGAAAAAGACACTGCTGACATCAGATTTCACCTCACGATGAGCCCCGGCTGGGTTTGGCGGGCGACGGCACGCCTTGTGCCAACTTGCCAAACGCAAAATGGACCACACGTAAGTTACAGATAGCTGACATGAATGGCTGACACAAAACCGACAAAGCAGGACAGATGGAATGTTTGGAGACATGGAACACCAGCAGTATGTCACCTATCACAACGACTTCTTGGCAGTGATGTGTACAGTTGCAGCACTTCAAAAATGTAGGCTATTAGTAACTCCAGTGGCTTAATTTCGTTTGAGATGCAAAACCACATCAAGCTTGTTTTTCACCCATAGCCTCTAATTCCACCGCTAAGACATCTCTTGAACGCGGCACTCGACAAATGATTTCACAAACTTCTCTGTTTCGCTCATTCCTTCAGCATTTTGGCAGTCGCTTGCAGCGGTGCATAGACCAAGCACGTCTGGGACGGCCAGCGGCTGGACCAGTGACGCGGTGCTCACCCGAGGTGGTCGACGGCCAGGTTGGTGGCACATGTCAGGACCGCCTCGCCACCGGGCAGCGCCACCACCGACTGCGGCTCCTTCACGAAGAAGATTCCCAGACCTGCGGGTTAGGTGCGGCGCTGTCAACAGTCAAATCCAGGGGGAACGCCGAAAGTGAGCGTGGAGTGCCCAGTGCGGGACGCAGTGTGGGAGTTGGCACATGGCGTGTCCAACAGCGCGTACTGTAATCGGCAAGAGTTTATGGTAAACAGCAGCTAGGATATTTTGCCGACAACATCCCGTGTTTACTCTGACCGCACGTAGCCTCATTGCAATCATCACAGCGTGGCTTCAGATTTGTGGGGAGTAGATCTAGCTCCTATTCATTATTGAACACGCCTTAAGGAGAAGCGGTTGGCACCTAACATATTGTTCCAGATATGAAATAACCTCCTTTCTACTGGCTCGGTAAGCATACTGCATGTGATCCATCCTGTCCTGGTTACTGATAGATATGTATGATGCAAGCGTCGACTTGGTTCACCTTTGATGAGACATGTGCACAGGCGTAATAATTGGACATAAAAAGTAATCGCATAAAAGTAATCGCGTAAAAAGTAAATGCGTAGAATAGGTTGTCCTTTCACATGCATTAAATTGCCCAAGCCGTCGGTCATTCAGGCATCCGTCGACAGCTTTGGAACAATTTCAGTATCTTATGCCTATTTCCGAGCAAAACTATCATCAGCTCTTGAAGATAAGGCATCATGAAAGTGACGTTTATCATCTAAACTGTTCGTTGTTGAGGGACGGTGCGACGGCTGAAGCGATCTCAGATGAGCGTCAGTCATGTGGAGCGGAAGCCTGGCGCGTAGGTGGTGCGGCACACGTGTCTTACAGCACGACACGGAAGCAATCGCGCATGTGTCTTACAGCACGACACGGGAGCATCGCGCATGTGTCTTACAGCACGACAAGTGAGCATCGCGCATGTGTCTTACATCACGACATGGGAGCATCGCGCATGTGTTTTACAGCACGACACGGGAGCATCGGGCAAATGTCTTGCAGCACGACACGGGAGCATCGCACACGTGTCTTACAGCACGACCAGTGAGCATCGCGCGCGTGTCTTACAAACACGATACGGGAGCATCGCGCATGTGTCTTACAGCACAAGTGAGGCATCGCGCATGTGTCTTACAACAGGACACGAGAACATCGCACACGTGTCTTACAGCACGACAAGCGAGCATCGCGCATGTGTTTTACAAAACGACACGGGAGCACCGCGCATGTGTCTTACAGCACGACACGAGAACATCGCACACGTGTCTTACAGCACGACAAGTGAGCATCGCGCATGCGTTTTACAAAACGACACGGGAGCACCGCGCATGTGTCTTACAGCACGACGCGTGAACATCGCGCACAGCTTGAGAACCACGCGGTATGCTCGCCAACGTTTTCACTATCTTACTTCAGCGTACTTGGGTCGCCCGATGCTCTCTTTCGACATGATTAACAAATCAAACGCAATTAAGCAACTAGCTGACCAACAGCTCATTTTCCAAAGCTGCAGCGACGAACATCAACCAGACAATAAGTCTGAGATGCTACAAGCCACCTTGATTGCCGCGCGACTTTCAAAATGGCCTGCAACTCTGCAATCAGCGGCTGCACCAAGCGTCGCTTCTGGTATGCTGACTGTTTCCATGACCCGTCCGCACAGTGATTAGGCTGCACCCAACACATATCTCGGGCGCCTTGGTTGTGCCGACAAAGGCAGCGGTGCCAGAGGCGGCTCCGCCCACCCATCTCCTCACACCCTCGGCTCTGGCTCTGGCCCGGCCTCACACACCTCGGCTCTGGCTCTAGCACGGCCTCACACAACGGCTCTGGGTCTGGACCGTACCTTACACCTAAGCTCTGGCTCTGGCTCTGACCCATACCTCACATCTCGACCCTGGCTTCAGACCGGGACCTCACACCTCGACTCTGGCTCTGACTCATACCTCACATCTCGACTCTGGCTTCAGACCGGGACCTCACACCTCGACTCTGGCTCTGACTATACCTCACATCTCGACTCTGGCTTCAGGCCGGGAGCTCACACCTCGGCCGATCCCCGACAACGGCGGCTGGCGAGCCGGACCAGCCGACAGGCGGCAGGCGGCAGGCGGCGGCGCCAGCTCGGCCGCTGACAGGCTGACGGGCAGCTGCAGGCGGAGCCCGCTGCTGGATGGGTACCACACCAGGCAGCCCTCTCCATCAACACGGCATGTGGCGAGAGGTATCGTACTACGCGACTGCGGGGCGTTGAGTCCAGACGGCAAAAATAACTGAGGGTTGATGATGCTCCATTTCGCAGGGCTGAACCGCTGTGAGAAGCGGCGGGGGATCAAATAAGAAGAAAATTGTTGCATGCAGAATGTACGATGCGCTTCACATCAGGCCACTGGAGAGGTGTCACTTCAGCAGGCTCAGTAACATCCGCCCGGATCACATTGCTACAGATACACACCCGCATGTGTGACTCCTGTGCGACGATGCGGATCGGATGCGGATGCGGATCCTATGTGGATCCTATACCTATGTGTCCTCGATCTTACCATCAGAGTCGCACATGATCCATACTTATGCGCCTTGTACTCTGCGCCTGTCTTGGCCACGACGTGCCATCCGGGTTGTAGTTCAACCACGTTTGTTCCAAGGCTGCCTGTCTATCTTGTCTGTTCCGAAGTGACTGTTGCTGTCTTGGGCGGCCTGTCTGCGTGCGGGATCAGTCAGCTTGTTTGTGTCTATCCCAAGACAATTTATTCACTTCTCTGTCGCCCAAGGGCGATGCTGCGATCTTGTTGGAGGGTGGAAAGCTCTGTATTCTTGAGGCCCCGACCATGCAAAGGCTTCCTCGGGCTAACTGACTTTTCAATATGTTCCGGCTGATTGTGCTTGTAGCGACTTTGTAATGCAATGTTTAATTATGTATGTGCATAATTTCCGGTCCTGCCGACAGTGACAAAGTCGTTTATGTTTCCTTACACCCAAAGTCATATCTCACTTGTCCGAGGCACGGGTGACTGTCAGCCGTGCCAGATATATGCGAATTGATTTAACATCGTGCCTACCCAACGGACGTTGGGGGCCGCCTTTTTGGCAATGATATGTGGGAACATAGCCATCATGTGTGGGATTCTACGATCTCAGTGCAGCTCTAGCTTTCAGAGAATTGCGTAAAACCATCCAACAAGTCTGCATGACTTATCCCATTATTGCTGGCAAGCATGTGCCTGGATCCCGAGGGTGGATCCAGCATTCCATTAGGCTCCTTGCTTATGGGATCCTGGGATCCCTTTCCGGAACTTCAGGCACATGTCCCAATTGACTGAAGCGTCCTCTCGAGCCAAACAAACGCCTTCTCTCCGCCGCGACGGGGTTCCTGATCATGAAAAGGCAGCCTCTGTTCCGAATGCGGTCTCCCGCCTTGCTGCGGGAGATGTGAATCCCTCCTCTGTTCCCTACCTTGGAATGTCACTGCACAGAATATCAGGTGAGAATATTGACTGAGATAATCGTGCGCTGATTATCTCAGTCATTAATCTTCTGTTATTGTCTTGATAAAGACATTTTGCCAAAATGTCAACCAATCTGTTACTTCATTCTTCAGGGTTTTCTCCGAGGAATACGGCTATTGCTACCGTCTAATCTATGTAAATAATGCTCCTCACGAATGCACTGAACAACCCCTTGAAACTTGGCATGTTTGCCCAAGCATCGTTTTTACATGCTGTGTCAACATTAAGGGCAAACATATCCGGGAGTCCTGGGCCACATTATGCGCGGGCGTTCATTGCAATTGGCTATGTTCTCCTCAATGTCGATGTCTATGTGATAAAAGTAAAATTTGCCTACTGTTTAGTCCTTCGGAGTTCAAAGAAGAGACGTGCGCATAAAAGTATGATCTAATATAAACCGAATGTACCATTGTTGGCGGCGGTAGTTTCAGCACAGCAGATATTGGGGGATGCATAGCAGAATGAGGAATACTGACAGCAGCCTTTGCTGCCGTACAGTCACATGGTTGTTTGCAGGCAGCTAACAGTCTGACGCTTTGCATTGACCAAGGCGTAGGATCAAATAACTACCCGTTCATTTGCCTATTAGTCTTGCAGGCGCTTTAGGTGAAACAGTTTACGTGTATGAAGTACATAGAAGCAATATTTGATATTCCGTGCAGGGACGTTCCAAAATAGAGAACGGAGAAGGTATTCTCATTTCCGGGTAGGCAAGCAGACATGTTTGCCTTTGCTGTCTAACGACAGACTGGGCGCCTGCTCACCTGGCTTGCCCGAAGGCGCCGGCAGTGCTGTTGCTCTACAGAAGGAAGGCGTAATTCGCATTCTACATTTTGAGAGACACGCCCAGACATATCTCACTTTGGCCCGAAGCATTGGCGAAGTTCCCCCTGAAAAATGCTATTGCACTCAACGACATGCGGTATAGTTCATTGCACCAGCTTACGACACACATCGTCCCTCTTTCGTGCAGCAGTCCAACCCGAGGCAGCGCATTACATCCGGGACTTCTGCTTCCGCGGGCGCCCAGCCGCTGTTTCGCATTACAGCCCGCTGGCCGCAGAGAAAACACTACTAAATCACCGCTGGTAGCATCCCGCCGATGACGGACGGCCCTCCCCACTGGGCTGCCTACTGAAGTAGGAGTGGGGGGGGGGGGCATGGGAGCTAACGGCGCGTGACCGGGACCGTGACAACATCAAAGGCGCCGACGGAAGCCGGCTGAGAGATGACCGTCCAGATTGGGTTGTGAAAAGCGAGAGACCACCGCAGTCACCGTCAGCACCCAGCAGACTGTAATTAGAGGTCTCCGCGGACCGGCTTCCGTCCCGGGTGGACTGGACTGGTTCAAGAGAACCACAAGCCACACGGGTTGAAGCCGGGTCGTGCACCCAAGATTGTCGGCATAAGTTGACCGGGGCCAATTGACGAATCTAGCGTGATACTTCACACCTCAAACCCAAATGTCCAAATCTCTAATGTAGGATATCAAATGCTTCAAGGTCACAAATGCACCGGCAAGAGATACTTCTTCGCAAGATATGTTAGGCCGGGCTGAAGCGCAATGGGCATATGTGGGCCAGTGACAACATGTTTCCCATGATATATTCAAGCGAATGTCATTCCGCACGCATGAAGAGGTGCAACTCACGCACTTCTGCACATGTCTGCACCACATGCACAGACTGACAACCCGGCACTCCATGTCTACACCCGGGTTCAGGGCCGACCGCGAGGCTTCTGTCACCGCGACACGCTGCCGCTGCGCTGTACCGCGCTGTTGCAGGGGGACAGGCGGCGCGGCGTGACCAGTTGGGGTCCGGTCGTCCCTCCCCCCTCGGGCACGAGCGACCGTCATCCGTCACCGTCACCGGCCTCGGTCGGCCATCTGTCATCGGCCGGCGCAGTCAGCGGACGGACCGGCCGCGACGGACGCGGTCAGTCGGCTGAGCCGGCTCCGCCGCCGGCGACCGGCGGGTGCCGCGCGCCGAGCACCGGAAGCCGGCGCGAGCGCTGGTGGAGGACGGGAGGACGGGTTTGCAAAGGGCAGTGAGGCGAGGGAGCTGCGAGACTGGCGCTTGTGGAAACCAAGCAGGGTTTGTGCCACCATGGGTTCCAATTTTTCGAAGGGGATGTCGAGAGCTTACGGCGATTGTTTAAGGCAACGGTGTGCAGGCAGGCGGTCAGTGTAAAAAGAAGACGTGAAGCGAGTTAAAGCCACTCAGAAATGACACGCAAACACTTCACGTCGGCTGTAATGCCGCCGCCTGTAAGTGTGTTCAAAAGGCCCAAACATGTCCTTCGGAGTACCAATGAACAGAAGTGAGTCCCCGAGCTTCGAAAAATCAAACATAAGGAACCACCTGTGACGGCCACGCTCGTCTACTCGGAGCGGACGAGCGAGGTGCGGACATGGTGCGAGGTCTCCACAACTGAGACCAGGGGGCGCCAGCAGCCGGCTCTCCGGATGGGAGACCCTGTCAGCGCCAGCTCTCGGCCGCGCCCCTCAAAGGCCGCACCCAGCCGACCGTGCGGTGGTCGTGCGCACCGCTGGCAACGTGCTGCCGCCAGGGAGAGGCGGCCAGTGGCCAAGGACGGCTTCCGCCGCGCTAGATTCGCGCAGCTGTGATCTGGGAGTACCGGGCAGAGCGGGCTGGAGCGCCGCCGAAGCTGCGCAGCCAGGCACGCAGCCAGAGCTGTCAAAAACGGGGGCCGCGAGCCAGTCTTGATTGATGAACAATCCGTATTTGTCACCACCGCCTCTTTCCGTCGTGTTCGGCCTCGTGTGCCCGTGCTCGTGCACTTCGCGAGAAGACAAATCGCTGACTGGTAAGGCGGCTTGCTGACACTTGTGCAAGTCACCAGCACACCATCGCAGAACTAATCCTTGAAGGCATTTAACATGCATAGGAATAACACATGTTGGCGCAGGCGAGAGATGCTTATAGGGCTGTCAGCAGTCCACAATCAACGATCTATTCCGAAAACAGCCGTGATAGGACTTTTGTAAAGGAAAAGCCCCACGGCGAAAATCTACTAAGTTGGATCCATTGTTCGACACGGCGTTTGGTGGGAGCCGATACTAAGGACATGCTACGAGCTTGGCTGTTGAATAATGTCTATCTGTGACGATTTATTAGCCACGCGACAAACTAGCAGAGTGATTGCTTATTTGAGCTTGAGCGCGCGCCGACAGCCGACCACACGTCTCCCATGCAGATGAGCCCGATGCAGCGAAATGACGATCCATCAGCGAGCCAGCCGGCCGGGAAGCCTCAGTGAGATCTCGGTCCACCGGTCGAGCCCCGGGGTTGCGTGAGCCGACGCCTCTCTGCCTCTCATCACCCGATCGTAATGACGGCCTGCGGTGCTATCACCTGCTCACGTGCCGCCGCCTCATCCGCGCGCCTCGCCCGCCGCCACGCCGAGCGCGACGCCTCACCTTGCTGGGCGGCGATGAGGCAGATCCATCCGAGGGCGACCAAGCAGCCGGAGAGGGAACATCTCACAGACGCTGCCGTGCAGCACCCATCGCCTGCAACAGTCGGACCGGCGTCAGCGGCGTCACCAGGCGCAGGACCGGCGTCAGCGGCGTCACCAGGGGACCGGCGTCAGCGGCGTCACCAGGGCGCAGGACCGGCGTCAGCGGCGTCAACAGGGGACCGGCGTCAGCGGCGTCAACAGGGGACCGGCGTCAGCAGCGTCACCAGGGCGCCGGGTCGCAGAAATTAGTTGGGAATGCGCCAACAAAATGACTATACATACCTCCGAAAAACCAAAAGCGGACTTCTCCCCAATTTTACCAACCGCCTTATCCAGTTGGGACTGGAGGCCCTCCAACTGAATGGGAGGCCGCGCCGTCGTCTGTGCCGGTCACAGGTCCCTGACGGGGTCGCGCCGGGGTGCCAGGCGGTGCACAGGTCCCCAGGAGGTCGGGGCCGGGGTGCCAGGCGGCGTTCATTCCGCCAACTCGACAGACGCTTAGTCAGCAGCGAACGGCCACGGCACCGGTCGAAGGGCATATAATTCAGTATCCCGTGTGGCTCGTTTATACAACATGACAGGGGTTCTTCATCGACAAGGTTATTACTGAGGCACCATAAACAGCAGAGGCGGCTGCCGCAGGTCTGCGCCGGCCTTGACCAGTCGTAGCATGCCTCACACTCCGCCGAGGTAAGCTCGGTACGGTACCGGGCTGCAACAAGCGATCGCTGTTCAAGGAACATAAGGCTGCAGTCAGGGAGATTCGAAATCTTAGGCATGTTGCTGCCGGCCCGGAGGTATGCTCAGATCGTATCCGTTCATCACCAATAGCTTATGTACTACACGGCAACACACCGCTTATCCCACGCCTCCATACAGCAAGGAACACGACTGGGTAATTTGAGATCCTTATGATGCATTGCTAACTGACAGCTGTCCTGAACGGCGTCTCTATGCCGTAATTCCCAACAATCATTAACACGATGCGCCGCGAAGTAAGAGATCCATTTGTCTGCGAAGTAATCGACCGCCCGTCCATGCACCGACTTCATTATCTCACCGTTTGGGTATGTGTATGCGACTCAGCTCCGGTGGTGCACATCGCACACCGCACGGCAGCTGTGTGCGATGTGCCACTAATCCCGACTCCATTATCTCGCCGTTTGGGTATGTGTATGCGACTCAGCTCCGGCGGTGGCACATCGCACACCACGGCAGCTGTGTGCGATGTGCCACTGATCCCGACTCCATTATCTCGCCGTTTGGGTATGTGTATGCGACTCAGCTCCGGCGGTGGCACATCGCACACCGCACGGCAGCTGTGTGCGATGTGCAACTGATCCCGACTCCATTATCTCGCCGTTTGGGTATATGTATACGATTCAACTCCGGTGGTGGCACATCGCACACCGCACGGCAGCTGTGTGCGATGTGCAACTGTGATATCCCTGCCCGCATAAAGTGTAGTTATGATCTTGACTTTTATATAGGCCTGTCCACTTTCAGCTACCTCGGTTGTGTTATCAGAAAGTGCGTGTCCTTTGCAGCACTGTCTCACTCTGTCGTATTAAGAGATTCAAATGGCCTCACCCACTGTAAGCGGGTAACGCGAGGGGGGCACAGGGTTAAAAAGGACTCCTGCTGGTAAGAGCCTCCTTCCCCAAGAAAGAGATCCCATACTTAGCCCGACTGATTTCGAGGTGTGGATTTTGTTTGTTTTAATTTTGTTTCTTGCCAGGAGCCAGAGGCCAACGGAAGATGCAATTCTGATTCTATGTTGAAGGTAATTACCTAAAGGTATGAGGCGTAAATGATCGCATGGAATGAACCGCCGGCACTTTTTTAACGCCGCAGTGAACTTTTTCTAAACCGATAGCCCTCCTGGGATTCGCAGTACATTTGCAGGTTCTACAAAGAAGTGAGGACCGACCCCGTGGATTAAACGTACCTTGCGGACCGCAAGGACTAAGGTCAAAAACTTGTATTGACATGGGCAGCCTCTGTTCGTCTAAGAATGTTCATCTATCGTTCAAATTCAAGTGGTGAAAGAGCATCCAGCATGGTTTTGAACAAACGCGCTCACAGGTTTCAGACATGAACACCGATACACAGCGTTGCAGTCTCCATTGACCGCGCGGGTTTGGAGTTGTAGCTAGCACTAAGCAGCCAACGAGAGGACGAAGGCGATACATGACTGACAGAAGCACCTTTGAAAATGTTATGACATAAATTTGTAATTACGAAGGTAGTCCTTGCCATCGATTTCACTGCTGCGATTTCTTCAATAACGGGATGGATTGACATTTACAGCACCGCGAACTCCTCACGTAATTGTGAAATTTGTTTTTTGTGTCGCGCTAACTGTCAATATGCTCAAACGGCAAACGTAATAAGATATATATATATATATATATATTATATATATAATATGCAGTCCAGTTTAATCTTTGAACGGTACGAATAATTTGAAGCGCTATCAGAACCCTTATTTTGCGACACACGGTCGTTCCCGGGCGTGCTTCGTCCGTCGCCTGGCGTTATCTGCAGCGGCCAACACCGTTAGGGCTGTCAGAAGCTGCTACCCCGGCTGTCGGTGTTCTTGGTCCAAAAATATCGAGAGCACGCATGCACGAGAGCACGCAAAGCACGCACGCAAAGCACGAGAGCACGCAAAGACATCTTAGTATAATTTGTTTCATCGGTCTATTCTGAAAAAGGGCGGGGTCCTCAGATAAGGCTGGATCGACTGTGTCAATACGCAATGTTGTCCCCATTTTGATCCATCCTATTGCACTCTAAAAAAGCGCTTACCTCACCTTCGCCGGGCAAGGGGCCCAGTGTGTAGAGAACTAAGGGCACGTCATTTCTTTCAGTCATGGGCCAAATGGCCATTTCATACCAGCCCGGTATGTCTACCGGCTGCCAAGCTGGCGATACATGGCGGGGCCTCCTGCTCGCCCCGGAACCCTTTAGAGGGATACATCACACATCGGTTCCCTCTCTGATGTGGGAGATCCTCTCACCGGGCAGTTCTGACCACAGAATCCTGACCCCCCCCCCCCCCCCCCACTGACCCAAGAAGGTCCCTTCTCGCCACAGGTGTCCAATGATTGGCACAGAGCCTTCAGTTCGGCTTATCGTGTCCCTGGCTGAAAAGGAGTGGCGGTCCCCAGTTCGGTGCTGAGGCTCCTGATTGGCATTCATTGTTTCACTGTGGACTCTCGTCTTAAGTTTTCATATCTATCTCCTTTCATTGTCAGAGGCCCCTGACCAACGGAAGAGGACCTCTGACATTCAGGGTCCGTCTCTGTCCCTGTTCTGAAAATGCGCCTCTGGCTGACTTAGAGCCCCCATATGGTATTGGTGATCCCTGAAAGACAAAGGAGCCTCTCATTGCATCAGGAGCCCCGACCAACGTAAATCGCGGGCTCCAGACTTATCCCTGCTTAGGAAATGGACTTCCGGGGCTCAGACCGACACGTAACCGGCTGATCGGTGTTGGTCGTCCCCGGCCCAAATACAGGCCCGCGTCCCAGGGTTCCCAACCGGTGCAAGGGGCCGCCTGACCGACATTAGGGACGACGGCCCGACGGGCTGGCGTCCTTAATACGTCCTACGGCCAGCCCTTCTAGTTCTTCCGGTGCCTCAATTGGGGCCTTGGATCGCCGGTTTCGGGTCCCGTGGGACCTAAGGAGGGGGACACGTGCCTTCCGTGTTGCTCCCTTCCCGCACCCATGACTGCAAGTGATGTGGAAATGCAAGACAAAATGTCCATAAAACTGCCTCACACTAGACGTATCTAGGCTGTGCTGTTCAGAGCTGTAGCTGCAGGTAACGTCAGAACATCTGTCAACAGCAGTTCTATCCGCCTGTTCAACTCTGCTGGCGCCGAGGTCTCGTTAAGATGACGTCCCATGTGACACTCCTGCTCAAATATGGGCTTATTACAAGGGATCTTGATTTGGCCGCTCTTAAATGGTCTGGAAGACCATACTGACCACCACCAATAGCAGTTTTGATAATTTAGAATGTAGCCAATGCATTCAGCTTCAAATTCTCCATGATCCCTTCGACTGTCCACAACCATAACATAGCTGCTTTCCGAAGACATCACGCTTAAACTGTGGAATTCTTCCACTAAAATCAGAAGATAGTGTTGACAATAAGCTTCTTCTCCTCCAAATGTCCCAACACTGCCATCCATCTACGATCGCAGTCGATCGCCTCTGCTTGTACCTGCAGACAACCGACCTTACCGTTCGTCACTGGAGTCAGGCGACCCCTAAATACGTTCCAGACGACAATGAATCCCCAGCGTCCACCTCAGAAGACAGTCCCTGACTTCTGTCCCTGAGTACAGAAGACCCCATAGCTCGTCCTGGAGACAGAAGATCCCTTAATCCTCTTTCGGGTAAGTAACGCACAGTGTCTGCCCCTGGAGACAGCCGACTTCTGGCGTACGTCCATGGAAGTCAGCCGACTCACACCTTTCGTCTCTGGAGACTGGCAGCCCTTATACTACCCTAGCCGACAGTCAACCACTGACGTTAGTCCTTGAAGACACCGGAGAACCTGCTAATCGTCCATGGGGATGGACAACTCCTATGCCATCCTAGGTGGCGGCCAGTACTAGTGTATGTTCGCTGGGACCAGCCGCTGGGGCCAGCCGCTGCCCGCCGTCCAGTCTTGAGGCGGCGGCCGGACGGCGCCGGCCAGCCCGTGACGTGCTCTCCCGTGACGCGTCGACGCGTCACGCCGCCGCCCGCACATCTCAACAGAGCCGTGGGAGCGGCGCCGGCGCCGGCCTACGCGCCGCGCACCCAGGGGAGGGCCCGCCGCCCGTAAACAGGGCGGCGGCCGCAGACGCGTACTCCGGCAGGCCGGCGCGCCCCCTGCGCCCGTCGGCGGCGGCGGTGGCGGACGCCGTGGTGCGCCGGGCTAGCGCACGGAGGCAGACCCGCTGCTGGTGTCGCAGGAGCAGGGTGGGGTAGCACTGGGGTC